TCATTTGGGTTTTTTAAATTCAGCTCTGAGAGTGTTCAGGTGTAAATTCTTTGGGTATAGATGTGCAGACATTTTCTCCTGTTCTGTGGCTTGTCTTTGCATCTCAGTGGTGTCCTTTGAAGCACAGTTGTTTTTAGTTTGGATGAGATCCAGTTTACCTGTTTTTTTTCTTTTGTTCTTTGTGCTTTTGGTTAAGAATCCTTTGTGAAATCCAAGGTTATGAGGTTATGAGAATCCCCTCTGTTTTCCTCTACAGGTTTTACAGTTGGACTCTTAAGTGGGTTGGACTCTTAAGTGGGTCTCGGATCCATTGTTTCTTCGTTTTTCTTTATGTTCGGAGGTGCAGCCCAGCTTCATTCTTTTGCATGCGGCAGCCCATTGTCCCAGCCCATTTGTTGAAAAGACTATTTTTCCCTATGGGACAGTCTTTCTCAGAAGCCCTCAGCATGGTCTCTCCACTTCGTTGTTGGTCTGTGCATCGGTCCTGATACCCACTCCACACCATCTTGATCACCATGGCTTTGTAGTAAATTTTGAGATCAGGAGACACAAGTCTTCCTCCCATGTTCCCCGCTTTCAAGCCTGCGGTGTCTGTTCTGAGTCCCTGCAGTTCCGTGTGAGTTTCAGAATCAGCTTGTCAGTTCTTCACGGAGGCCCGCTGGGTCCTGGGATTGTACCAAATGTGCAGATTGGCCCTGGGTGTCTCTGGTCCCGACAGTGCCAAGTCTTCTGTTCCAAGACATGGGACATTTCCTGGTCACCTAGATCTCGCCTAGTTTCTTGCCATGTTGCTTTGCTGCCAGTGTGTTTGAATGGCTCCTCATGGTGGGACGGGCACAGGAGTGGTGCTATTTGTATAGGACACAGGGCTGTCTTCCTGTCCCAACACTTGGCTGTCCTGGAGACGGGTCTCAGGGCAGGGTTGTCATTACCTGTGCACTTTAGCGCCCACCAAAATATGTGGCACGTGGGCTCCCAGGCATGGAACGGTGTGCCAGACTCACTGCGCCACCCCAGGCTGTAGTGACAGGAGCAGCCTAGAAGTTTGTCTGTTACCCCAGCTGTCTTGGGGCACAGTCCCGTCTCAGCTAGAGCAGAGGTCCCAGGCCCCAGGGGCTCCGGCGTGGCCTCCTTTTGGAGGGTCCAGGAATGTTCCCTTCACATGTTGAGTGTGGCCCAGGAGACCCCTTCCTGGGATGCCAGGGGCTCCCGCCCTGAATGACGGCTCCACCACTGTGTTCACAGCTGTGCTGAGGGCATCCAGGCTTGGAAATCATATCAGATGGACAGACAGGTGTGTGGGTGGTTAGACAGAGGGAAGAAGGAAAGGATGGCAGGAACAAACCGACGGAGGTCAAGAGCCCAGGCCAGAATCACAGTGGGGCATGAGAAGGTGGGTGGTGCCCAGTCTGCCCCTCCCATGCCACCTCTAGGGGCTCTGCCTTCTCTGGGCATTAGACAGGGAAAGTCCCCTGAGTTTACAGAAAGGTGAGTAGCTGCCCAGAATGTTGCTGTCTGCACAGGGCCCTAGAGCCCATCCTCCTCCATCCTTGGCCCTCCCAGGTGGTGGGTTGTGACCGCCGCTAGTTGCAGAGCCCAGGCTTGTTCTCAGCCCTGGTCAGCAGTGCCATCAGCAGGTCACTCCAGCCCTGGTGTCAGATGCCCAGTGAATGCTGTCCGTGTTCCAGGACCTCCTGCTCTAGGTGGAAGTTGGGCCGTGGGAACCTGCTCCGACCCTGTTGGTCTCACACTGTGAGGGGCTGAGGACAGGGCTGGGGGTTGGTTGCAGCATGGACATGATGACTTTGCACATACCAAGCCTTAGTCCCCAGTGGGGTCAGCAGTGCAGTGAGCGGCACCTTTGGGGGCCAGGTGGTGACAGGATTGGCATTTAAGAACTTCTTGGTTTTATCTTCTTTCTGTTTTGGTTTCATTTCCTTAATCTTGACTGACTCCTGATTTTGGTCCTTAAATCCTCCAATATGCAGAATTGTTTCGTGGACCTCAAGCTCCCCATCAAGGGGGAAACCTCACCCCAGGATGATGGGCCGATCACAGGCACCCTGCTGGGGGTGGTGAGGCGGGAGGGGGTGGGGTTGCATCTCTGGCTCTGTTCCTGACCATGGAACATGGGGTGTTACTAGGACAACTTGTACCCCAGGGAACTTGACATCCTCGGGCACTGCTGGGTCCAAGGCCAGCACTGGGCATGCCACCACTGAGCTCCTGCCCCTCCTGCAAGTCACGCTGCCTGCTAAGTGGGAGGTTGCTGGGGCCAGGTGAGGCCTCGCTGGGGGGCCCCCAGGGCGGCACTGCCTCCTCCCGCCCAGGGGTACCTTCAGGAGGCCAGTGGTGTTGAAGCCTAGGGAGAAAGAGTGGGGTGAGGCCGGGGGGGGAGGAGGATCTCGCTGCTCTGGGCCAGAGGAGGGCCAAGTACATGCCATGTGGCCTCATCCTTGCTGGAGGTCAGGAGACTCCAGCCTGCCTTCTATGCAGCCCCTGAACTAAGAAACCTTGTACATTTTTAAAGAAGATTTTGGCACACGTGCAAGTTTTCTGAAATTCAGATTCATGTTTCTGTGCCCTCAGCTCCGTCAGCCGGGCCCGTGCTGGCCTCGCGTGCCCCAGAGCTGCTTTCTTGGTGCGGCTGCTGTGCTACATGGTTAGGACGGGGGCAGGGTGACCGCACAGCCCTGTGACTGGCTGGTCTCCGCAGAAGGCAGCCCTCACCCTCTCCCCATACCCTCCTTGGCTCCTCAAGGCTCTTTGGGGTGGTGGAGAGGTAGATGCCATCCAGCCCACAGAGGCCCAGGAAAGCCCGTGCTGCCCATGAGAGGGGCCTCCTGAGTGTGTGGGGGTGGCTGGATTCTGCACACTGGGTTATCTTACCCCAGCTATAAAACTGGATGAAGTAGCAGTCCTTCACCCTAAGAGTCTGTGATTCAGCCAGTGTTACAGGATGTCTCTTCATCTTCTGTGGTTTACAAGGTTCTCAGTAAACCTGTGAAGAGCCGCTTGGATTTTCTCCCACCCCGGCCCAGTCCTCTCCCATTGGGCCTGAGTGGGTGGATTTCCCTCCCCTTCTCCTTCTAGAAGCACTGAGGAAGCGGCCAGGCGAGCCATGTCTGCAAGCCCCACTTCCCTCTGCAGTGGCCTCTGCCATCATGCCGCGGTGCAGGGGGGTCCCTGGTCCAGGTCAGCATGTCCGTCTCCCCTGGCCTCTTCCATGAGGGGATGGCAGGGCCAGCCACTAGCTTGTGTGATATGACATCAGGGGACTGTTTTAGAGTCCAGGGTGGCACCAGGAGGGGTGAGGTGAGAGTTCCTTCTTCCCCATTCCCTCCTCCCTCCCTATTGGAGGCACATCCGGGGCCCTGGGACAGTGATCGCCCACAGCTGACGGGCTCTGGTCCCAGTGAGGTGCCCTGCAATGGGCACAGCCTAGGCCAGGCCTAGCCGTCCTTCGGGGACTCGGACAGAAGTGGCTCATAGCAGCCTGAGCTCCTGGGAGGCCAGGAGCTTACTGCGCCCAGCTTCTTCACCTCATGGGGTACGTCCACACCAGCCTTTCTCCTGAAAGCATGGGATGACCCGAACACAGGATGTGTTTCCCTGTTCTTTAAGAGACAGGACAGTACATGGACAGAAGCCCCGAGGGTAGCGGGAACTCATTGCCAACAGGTAAGTTCCCCTTGGGAATGTGCAGGGCTGGCCTGGCTTGCTGGCTATGCACCCCACTCACAAGTGGCTGGTGGCGCCTGAGGGACGGCGTGCCCACCCAGTCTCTCACTGCTCTGCAGCTCACAGCCATGAGCTGTAGGGTCTCAGTGCTTGGCAGGAGCCCTGGCCTGCGCCTTCTCATGTGTCTATTAGCTTTTGGGGTATGTTTTTTTGTAAAGTGTCTTCACATTTTTTGCTCATTTTTAGGTTGAGTTGTCTGATGTAGTCTTGTGTATTTCTTGAGTTCTTCGTATGTTGTGGATCTGAACCCTTTGTCACATATGTGATTTTCAAATAGCACCTCCTGCTCTGTGGGTACTTGTCCATTGTTCTGGTGGATGGAAGTACTTAATTTGCATAAGATCAGTTGTACTTTTTTTTTTTTTATTATTTTATGGCTAGCAGTTTCTGAACCCTGTTTGAGAAATCTTTGTGTACTCCCAGGTGACAGAACGTGGTGGAACTGATGTTTGTGTGTAGAATGAGGTTGAGGACAGAGCAGTGTGTAGTGACCCTGCACCTCCCTGCCCCTGCACCTCCCTGCCCCAGGTGGCTGTCCCCTGCTGCAGGGCTATGTGGTGCTCCAGGTGCACTCCTCCCTCAAGGATGCCACGCACATCCTAGCCCTGGGTTTTGTGGGAATGTCAGGTCGATAGGCACATTCCTGAGCCAACCACACCAGTGCCAGGTTCCCTCATTCTCCATCGGTGTGTGGTTGACCTTGTTTCTCTTGTGGCACAGGGCATCTTCCAGGCTGGCAGGGAAGTGATGGGAACGTGGCCACATAGGCTCCCAGCCTCATTAACAGCCGGGAAACTCAGAGGAGAGGAAGCCTCCCTCCCAGGCACTGTGTGGAGCTGCAGAAAGTGCTGCGCTTGGCTAAGCTAGGGCCTTGTGTCCCCTCTCACCCTGTTCCTGTGGTTAGGCAGGAGGGACCTAGCAGGCGGCCAGGCCTTGGTCCTGCACCTGTCCATGGGACACGGGGAAGGAGCCACTCTTTCAAGGAGATATGGCTGCTAGGCAGCCTCAAGAAGACAAAAGAACAGAACACTGTGCTTTGTGTGACCAGTGCTGTGTGTGTGTCTGGGCCATGGTGATCCATGCTGTGTGTGACCAATGTTGCATGTGTGCCTGGGCCATGGTGACCCATGCTGTGTGTGACCCATGCTGCGTGTGTGCCTGGACCATGGTGACCTGTGCCGTGTGTGACCCGTGCTGCTTGTGACCATGCTGCGTGTGTGCCTGGGCCATGGTGACCCATGCTATGTGTGTTCCTGTAGGGTGACTATGACCAGAGCAAGACCAAAGTGCTGCACATGAGCCTGAACCCTGCCAGTGTGGCCAGGCAGCGCCTGCGTGAAGACCACAACCAGCTGCAGGCGGAGTGCGAGCGGCTGCGAGGGCTACTGCGCACCATGGAGAGAGGCGGCACCGTCCCAGCTGACCTTGAGGCCACTGCAGCAAGTCTGCCATCGTCCAAGGAGGTGGCAGGTAGGCCCCGGCCTTGTCCTTGACCTCCCTTGGGTAGGTCCATCCATGTGCCCTGTCAGGGCAGCCTCTAGCTGTCACCTGCCTGTTGTCCCCAGAGGGTCTGTCCTCCCGCTGTGGGCAGCTGGGCCAGGTGGTCACTGGGGCAGAGAACCCTGGCCCTGTGTTCCTGAGGGACTGTGCAAACAGGTGCAGTCGTCCCAGTCTGCAGGCAGCAGTGGAGAGGCAAGGAGCTGAAATATCAAGCCGCTAGAACAGACTTGTAGTATTTATCAGTTTATACACACCCCATTAATCTCAAGTAAATCCAATCCTCCACAAAAGCAGAGCCCATCTTTCACCAGCCTAAGTGCGCTTCACGGAGTCTGGAGAGCCCTTCGCAGCAAAGGCTTGCGGAAGAGTGAGGCCCCAATGAGGGCCAGTGGTCCTGCCTGTACCCTCCAGATCTAAGTAAGGGCTGTGGCCTTTGGAGTGCCGGCCTGTCCCCTGATGTGGTGAGGTGGTGCTGGGGTCTGCTCATGCTGAGCTTTGAGCGGTGCTGCCGGGGCCATGTCCACTCTGCAGGGCGCCCTCACAGAGGAGCAAGGACCAGAGCCCAGAGAAGCGGGGCCGGGAGCCCAGATTCGCTGTGCAGTCTGCACCCCCAGCAAGGCTGTGGGGCTCAGGACACCCCTTCCAACTACATTGTTCTCTGCTGTTGGACAGAGCTGGGCATTGCCCCATGCTACCGGCTCTTGGAGGGACCTGGGGGAGGGCTCCCTGTCCAGCCCTTAGCAGCAGCCTAGAGCACGGCTTGGCGTCCCTTCACTCCTGTCTGTCACGCCTGCCTCTCAGCCTCTCCCTTGGGGGTGTCTGCAGGATCATCTGTGTCTGAGATGCCCACCCATCAGCCCTTCCCTTGAGGGTGTCTGCAGGGTCGTCTGTGGTAGGGCCTGTAGGCCACTGCTTTCTGTCCTTTAGCATCTCGCATTTGTTTCAGACTCACCTTTTATCTGATGATGCCCTCTCCTGTTTCTTCCCGCATACTTGCCATCGGGCCCTGGACCCCGGCAGAGCGTTCCTGGGAGCATGCAGGGCGGAGGTTATGTGGCAGTCACTTGTCTCCTTCCTGCAGCGTAGCACCCAGGCTGATGTATCAGGCATGACTGTCCTCTGCACCACTCTTTTGTGGGGAGTGTCTTAGGTGGGGTCTTCCCTCCCTCCTGTGTGCCCCCCATAAGCCAGGCATGCCCTGAGTGGTGGTCCACCCTCCTCCCCAGTATGCCCATTTGCTCGTCCGTTCATTTACCTGTTGTCTGGGTCTCTGCACAGTCTCGGGCACATGGGTGGTTGGCATCTGGCTGTGACAGGCGTCTGGGCCTCGGCTGATAGGGGAGCAGGGGATGTGAAAAGGCATGTCAGAGCTGACCATGGAGAAGTAAGGGCCAGGGTGGCCTAGAAGCCAGGACGGGGCAGGTGAGCAGAGGCCTGGGATAGACGGGGCCCACGCCACATCATGCCCTCCAGGAGGTGAGGGTAGGTCAGGCATCCAGGCCCCAGTGGCTGATGCAACTCATGTCCATGCCCCCTAAAGTCACAGTGATGGCAGTAGCTTCTGTTTTTGTGTGAGGCCTAACCCCACAGAGAGAGAGGATACAGCAGCAGACTTGAAATCTGGAATGAGCGGGTTAGCCGTGAAAGGACTGAACTGACCCAGGGAACCAGAATCAAAGCAGCAGGTAGAGCTGGGAACCTGCCTGAGTGATGCCTCAAAACTCCAAAGTGGCCCAGGAGCCGGCTGTAAGTGCATTAGGGGAGGGAAGCCACTGGCTGAAGCATGCTGGATCCAGATGCTTGAGAGCTGAATCAAGAGACGGGTCCCCAGGATCATCTCACCATCTGTGCACACAGGACAGTTGCCTCTCCCAAGCAAAGACGAAAACTCTGAAACAAGCCAGCGGCCTCTTCTTGGAGCAGTGATCCTTAAAGTGCAGTCCCCAGGCTGCTGCAGTCTCCCTGGGAGCCTCTTAGAAATGTGGATTATCAGGCCTCATCTCAGACTGGCTTGGCTGGAGGCCTGGGGGCTGCCAGCAGTCTGTGCTAGGCGGCCCTGAAGACTACACGGATGCTCGGCAGGTTTGTGGACTGCTACTCTAGAGAGGGCAGTCGAGGTCCCTGGACAGGTCCGAGTTGGGACAACAGGCCTGAACTAAGCCCAGACCGCACCCCCTACCACGTGCCCTGCGGAACACGGGCAGCAGGCGTGACCCTAGAGGCCACGGTGGAAAGACCTCCCTGTGGAATCTGAGCAGCCCAGAAGGACCTGGCGTTGGCAGTTCCCCAGCTGGACGGTTCTCATCAATCGCTCCCTGGGGAAAACCGCCACAGGCGGCTCCATGCACCTACCTGGAGCATCCCTGAGCCTTTAGTGCCCTCTCCTAGTGAGGATCTGCATCTTGGGATCTCGTACCCCTCACCCCCAAGCCCCGCATCAGGTCTGAAGGAAGAAGTACATGTATCTGCAGGGGTTCAAGGTCTTAACTGGACTGTCCCTGCACCCTGTCTCAGGAATCTGGCAAAGGATGTCCTCCCAAAAGGTGAGGGAGTAAAGCAGAAAAGAACGTGGCTGTGGCACACAGAGCTGACCGCAGGGGCTTCTGCTGCAGGAGCAGAGAAGGAAGCTCTCAGGCCTGGGGAGCAGCCGGCAGGGGCCGGAATGGGCCAGAGGTTCTGGGATGCAGAGCAGGAGCTCCCACTGCAGAGAGTAGAAAAGGAAGCCCCCAGGTCCAGGGAGCCACCAGCAGGGGCTGGAACCAACCAGAGATTCTGAGACATCTCTGTTCTGGTGAGTCAGATGTTACTGGCATGGGCCCTTGGCCGATGGGAGCCCCAAACCCCAGCCTCTGGTGCTGGCTCTGGTTCCTAATTTGGCCTCCCTGCTGCATCCAAGCTGGCCCAGGGAGATTGTTAATTGCAGCTTAATTAGGTAATACATTAATATTAAAATAATCTAATCTTATCAGAGCAGCATGTTGAAGGTGATCAAATTTGCCACTGCTTGTGTGGGCGCAGCTGATCCTAGAGGTGTCTCTGGACATGAGGGAGACGGGAGGGAGGGGAAGGGTGGGGGATCGAGAAAGAGGGAGAAGAGATGCTGAGAGGAGAAAGGAGGAGGTGGAAGAAGAGAGGGGAGGCCCAGGAGGGGAGGAGGGAGGGGAAGATGGCTGGCCACCAAGGTCTTCCACCTGGAGCCCATCTGCTCTGCCCTAGGGAGGAGGGTGCCCTCGGGAGAGGCCTGGTTTGGGGGCCCCGCCTGGGCTGAGGCAGGGAGCAGTGACTCTGCCTTTTTGTTTTGTCCTGTGCGCTGCTTCTCTCTGTATCAGCACCTATCCTCTGCGGTCTCATGCTCTTCCAGTTTGGCTGGCACTGGCCCCAGAGGTGGCCCTCAGTAAGGTGTCCTGATGGCCACTCTGTGGATCACCAGGCCAAGCACTATGAGGAGCTGCCCATCCATCGGCCTGGAAGTGCTGAGGCAGGTATGCCCTCCCATAGCCAGAAACCAGTGCCCAGCTGTCACATGGCACAGGCCTGTGTTTACATAATGCCCCACCCCATGCCACCTGGGCAGGGCCATCACCTGCCCACGCCTCAATTTGTTCAGTACAAACACGATCCTATGCTGACGGCTGAGCGGCTCAAATAGGATTGGGGTGCAGGAGCTTCAGCCTTGCTCGGCAACTGATGGGTGTTGGAGAAGAAAGGCTGAGAGTTCCGTCTTGGGCTCCTCTAGGGACTGATGGGTCATGGGGAGCAGTGGCAGTCATGGCAGGTGTTCCGTCGTGGGCTCCTTTGGGAACCAGTGGGTCATGGGGAGCAGTGGCAGGCATGGCAGGCGCTCTGTTGTGGGCTCCATGGTGGGCTCTGCCTGTAGTGTTAGAGACAGAGAAGTGATGTGACAACCAGGGCCTTGGGCACCAGCTGGTCACTCTCCACTGCTTGGAGAAGTAGGTGCCCTCCACGTGCTGCCTGGTGCTGCCCATGTTTTTATTGGATTGTTAGTATTGAGTTTGGGGTGAATCCGAGTCCAATATGTAACAGATAAATATCTTCTCCCAGCCATTTCCTCATTTTCTGACGGAGTGTTCCTCAGAGCACATACTTTTCATTTTGGTGCATGCTAATGATCAATTTTTCTTTTACAGGGGTCAGATTCAGAAACTCCATGCATAACTCCAGGCCAAAATATTTTTTCTTATGTTCTTTACTAAAAGGTTTTAAGTTTCACATTGAAATGTGTGATCCATTTTGCCTGTGGTGTGAGATTGAGGTCAAAGTACTCTTTTCTTTTTCGTTTTCATATGGATGTGCAATTGTGCCATTATTGAAGACTGTCCTACCACCACTGAATTATGTTTGTGCCTTTGTCAACAAACAGTTGACCATGAGTTATGGGGGTCTCTTTCTGTACCTTCTATTCTGTTGCCTTGATCTAAGGGTCTGTCCCTTTGCTGTTAATAATACCACCTTGTATTGACTGTAGCTTCATAGTAAGTCTTGAACTCAACAGCACAATCCCCTACTTTATGCATGCAAGATTTAGATTCAACTTATCTTTACCTACAAAATGCCTGTTCAGAATTTTATAGGAATTAGTTAAATCTGTCGATCAATTTGGGGAGAATCTACATCTTAGTTGCAGTGAGTCTCCCGATCCATGAACACGGTGAGTTTGTCCATAAATTTTCGTTCTTCTTGATTTTTTTCATCAGCGTTTTGTGATTTTCACCACACCACCCACCCCTTTTTTTTGTTAGAAATACACATAGTTTCGTTGGTTTTATTGTTAGTGTTTGGAGTTAATGTAATTGTTTGTAGGCTTGTTTTTGTGGTTTCCAGTTGTTCAGTGAGTGTGTATACAAGTATGATGAATGTTTGTGCTGGCTTTGTAACCCATGACCTTGCTAAACTCACTTCTTAGTTCTGGGTTAGTTGCTGTTTTTATTTTGTTTTCTAATCCTTTGCAG